ACCCAGCGATGTCAAAGGCCAGAATGCCCTCCCAGGTGAGGGTCTGAGACCACAAGGAAGGTGGTGCCACCCCACCCCATCGCACCTGCCTCACCTGCAGCAGGTGTCCCAGAAGCCTCCGCTGGGTCCCCTGTACTGGGCCTGAAGCCTTCGGGACAGAGGCCCAGAGAGCCCAGCCTGGGCCCAGACTCAGTGGGAGGGTCAAGGTGAACATGGTGGCCCGGAGCCGCTGTCTTCTCTTCTTCTCCCGGGGACCCCGACCTGCAAGAGAGCAAAATCCCACATGGCTCCTGGAACCTGTGTCAGCCCCCAATGCCAGATTGAGTCCTACACTGCTCTTCAGGCCAGATCCCACCCCACCTCACATTCACCCCTGGTATCAAGCGCTGCTTGCCTGCCCAGGTCTCCCATAGCATCCGCTAGCTTAGGACAAGGCTGGTCCTTCTCTTTGCACAAAGCAACACCTCTCTCGGCACCGGCACAATGGCCACCAGTGAGCATGTTTGAACCAAGGCACTTCAGCCGAGAGCCAGACAATGAGCAGAACCCGTCAGCAGATATTGATGGGGCACCCTGGGCCTGGGGGTGGGGGCATGCTGGCACAAAGCTTATGGTTTTGCTTGGTGAGACATCAGGCACCGGTGGAGGCTTCTCCCTTCCTCACCACACTGCTCTGGCCCCTGCAGGGCGCCCCCACCATCTCTTTCCATGTCCGTCCTCTTTCTCTCCCACAAACCCGGGGCCTCCACTGAGCCGCACCTGGAGGCCAGCAGGAGCAACCACACGGCCCAGCCGCATCCAGCCCAGAGCAGCAGAATCTCCGAGGCCGTCTTGGCATTTCCTGATTTAATATGTTTGAAGGTTTTATTTTTTTATTTATTTTTATTGGTTTTTAAAATTCATTTTATTAGGGGCTCGTACAACCCTTATCACAATCCATACGCTTGAAGGGTTTAAATGAACTATCTGAATGATATCCATTTCATCACAGTGCAGTTTAAAACATGGGACTATGCAGCAAAACCTGGGAAAGTCAGAATTTACGTAAGCCACAAACCTGGCCAAGACGGAAAACTCAAATATTTTCCACTGAAGTGAGTGAGTGTAAGTAGGTGCACAGCACCAGTCCAAGACAGAAGACTCACGCAACCCAAAACCCTGTCCAAGAGCAACACTCGTGAGCTCTGAGGCGATTCTGCTGCGCCCCCGTTCTCACTAGATCTCACTCCAAAAACCGGTTGATTCTGACTCATAGAGACCCAGCAGAATAAGGTGGAACTGCTTCTGGGTTTCCAAGACTGTAACTCTTTGTGGGAGTAGAAACCTCATCTTTCTTCCACAGAGTAGCTGGAAGTTTTGAATCGTGAACTTCACAGTTAGCAGCCCTGAGAGTAATGCTTTATGTCCTCAAGGCTCTTTTTCTATATGATATCTATATCACATATAAATATGATATATCATATATAAATATGATATATATATATATATAACCTAACCAAACTGACTGCCATCAAGTTGATGCTGACTCATAGCAACCTTGTAGAGCAGGACAGAACTACCCCAGTGGGTTTCTGAGGCTATAATGCTTTATGGGAATGGAAAGCCTCATCTTTCTTCCACAGAGCAGCTGGAGGTTTTGAACTGTTGGCCTTGTGGCTAGCAGCTCAACTTGTAACCTACTAGACCACCAGGACTTCAGAACGTAATCCAAGGAGGTGCTATTTCTAAAAACATCTTTGAAATTTAAGACAGACACACTTCTGAACCCCTCTAATAATAACCTTTCTCCTCTGAGCAGCTGTGGGCAACTTCCCTCCTTTGAGATGAGGGTCCAGGAACATTGCTATACCTTCTCAGGGGCCCCTTCCCAGCCTCCACCCTGGAAACTCAATCCATCTGTCACTCAGCACAGCTCTGCGGGAGGCCACACCTGCTTTGGACTGAACTGCATTTCCAAATAATCTCTGTTGTACATCCTAACCCCTCCTGGTGGCTGAGTGCTTATGCACTGGACTGCTAACCAGAAGGTCAGCAGTTTGAAGCTACCAGCTGCTCCACCAGAGGAAGATGAGACTTTCTATTCCCATAAAGACTAACAATCTTGGAAACTCACAGGGGCAGTTCTACCCTGTCCTATAGGGTTGCTATGCATCGGCATCACCGTGGTGGCAGTGAGTGAGTGACACCTCTGGATACAGGAGCTCTACCCAAAAGGTCGAGATAAGATTGGTCAGTCAGCTCCCATCCAGATTAAACTAAAAACTCAAACTCCCTGCAGTCGATTCTGACTCATCG